CGAAAACCTCTCTATTACTTTAAGAAATGAGAAGTTACTATTAATGCCATAATACTCAATATAATATGTGTAAAATTTATAAACATTCACATATATTGTATCTAGAAATAAAAACATGTGAGAGAAAGAGTTTCGAAACTACTTGAAGATAGTAAATATATATGAACACTCCACAGTATTGAGCTTAAGAAACTAAGCAAACTAAATAAACAAAATAAAATAATTATATCTAATATGGTTGGTTGGTTGGAGTGGCGGCCCTTTTTACCAAGAAAAAGCCCACTTAAGCACAAATAAAGGCCCGTTGTGGTACCACAAGGAAAGAGCGATGTTCGTATATAGATAAGGTGATCTGTATACGACCAACGCCCAACAGAGAGGCAACGACTCCCCCATTAGGTGAAAGAAAACAGTTCTATGAATCTAGCTAGGTCCCTCACATTGTAGGATGAGAGATCAGTCAGATCGGTCAGAAAAGGGGCCCCCAAGATTTTTGATCTTCTTCTGGCTAAAGATGGGCACTGACACATGAGATGAAACACAGTTTCCTCCTCGTCCTCAGAGCCACAACCGCGACAAAGGTCATTATAAGGAAGACCCAGTCTCATAGCATGCCTCCCTATTAAACAATGACCCGTCAGCACCGATACCGTAGCACTGAGCAGATCTCTCTTTAGTTGGAGCAGCTGACTTGTATATATCTAATATTAATATTATTAATAATAATTTAAAAAAATATATATATATTAAGCATAGGCTATATAGTATAGGAAAGCCAGTAAATACCAAAATAGTTATCCGAAATATGAAAGATAAGGTTCTAAACGGCATTACTATACTTCCATAAAACAATAAGAATATCTGCATTTTAATTCCTAGAAAATTCATGAGAGCAATTTTTAGGAGGAAATATATAGGAATTTTTCTTTATCTTTTTGATTATTTGAAAGATAATTATCTAATCTAATAATTATCTTTATCTTAAACTTTAATTATTGTTTTAGTTACACGTCTTTATTTTTTATTTTGTAATTTGAAACGAATATATCTCTGTTCTGTTTTGGATTTATGAGTCGTTGTAGGTATGCATTGAAAGCAATTTGTTTATAGAATTCTTTAGAATTCGACTTTTAATTGTACGTCTGTTTCTTCCAATAAGATTAACATACACAGCAGATTGGATGATGAAATACAATCTTAACAATTATAAAATAAAGTGCGTGACTTTTTTAAAACCAGACATTAATAAAATTATGAAAAATTGAGTTTAGAAATCAAATAATTGTTTACGTTTGCATTTAAATAATGTATCTAGATCCCTGTGTATATAATTGCATATACCAGCAAAAGATTCAGTATTGTGAGGCTTTGTATAAATATTTATATTCTTTACTGGACAGAAAAATTCAAGTAAGCGATAAGGAGCAAGACTTTTCGATAAAACGTAAAACTTGGTTTTATTCACAAATAACTACTGTTGTTGAGGGATTAGATATATTTGTATGATCGAATATTTATCAAGCTGTGTTAGTAAATAAAATGTAAACAATTTGTTTTTGTTTTTATTTTTTTAATTGTTTTATGCAATTTTCAGACCACCAACTACGAGCTTAAGTAATATACATATACATATGTATGTACATATATGTAACATATATGTTGGAGTGTAAGATTATGAGTAATGATATTTATTTATCATATTAGAATGAATAAGTACAAATTTAGTTAAATAATTACATTAATACAAAATATATAAGCATTTAAAAATTTAAATAATTTAATTTAATTTGTTTAATCAAGATATCGCACTCGTAGCCATAGCTTATAGGTAGGCCATTGGCCCTCTTCATATAATTAGGTGTCCGTATAACGACATTTCTATCTAATGAAGTTTCTGTATAAAGAGGTTTGTATATAATGTGGTTTCCTAGGTAGTTAGATAGATGAAGTGGAAAGAGGTTCCAACTTTTCTCACATAGCTAAAAAAGTCATTGTAATTCCACATTATTCCTAATTATGGGTAGAAAATTGAGCATCTTAGAACCAGGTAAACGCATTTATCTATGCAAGTATCTGGCCAATATAAATGTTACAAATATCGCATTAAATTAAAAAATGGGACACCCTGAAGCTTGAGATTAATTCTATATAAAACTTGACATAAACAAAGCAAGTGTTCCGGTGTCTTCTCTTCGAGCAACAATACAAATGTTCTACAACAGAATCACTAGGGCATGTCTAGCCTGACTTAATGCCTTCATATATTCTAGTGGCCCATCGATATTATTTTAGATACTTCCGGGTTACTTTTATGAATTAAGTAAAAGGTTTTCTGTTCTTTAAACATTGTTGGTATAGACAAATATTATACCAACTTTTGTATGTAGGTCTATCCCTAAAAGGTTTCATATAACTGAGTTTCTAAAAAATGAAATTTCCAAATAATGTTCCTCCATAACAAGGTTTACATATAACAAGGCTTCCAAATGTCTTTTTACATAGAGACAAGATAACAAAGATAAAGATAACAAAGTTTTCATAATATAAGATATCCATACAACAAGATCTTCATACAACAAGATTTTTGTATAACGAAAATATCATTTTCTTTGCGTTTATAAGACAATATTTTCGTGTAAGGAGCAATTCATTAAAAGAGGTTTTAATCAATTTCCATATAAAGAAGGTTCCATATATTCACATTTTTATAAGATGCGATTTTCATAAAATGATATTTTTATAAAACAAGATTTCCATATAACGAAGTTTCCATTTAATAAGATTTTTATAAAACAATATTGCCATATACTGAAATGTTCATAAAACACGATTTCCATATAACAAGGGTTGTATATAATGAAATGTTTGTATAACGAGGATAAGAAGAGTTTGATATAGCGAGGTTTTCATAAATCAAAGTTTTTATTAAATGAGACTTTTGTATGACGTGGTTTTCGGGCCACGGGGACTCTGTATAGCGTGGTTTTTGCATAACGAGGATGGAGTATTATACGTAGGTATATCGTTTTAAAAATATGAAGTTATACTGTAAAGTTAAGTGTTTTCTATTTCTAATTTTTTCCACCTCACGAATATGATGGACAATATGAATGATTTAAAAAAATAACGGAAGCCCAAACTTTGTGTTAAAAATTATACTTGGCGAAAAAATAAATTATTTATTATTAAAGTCATCTATTCGCTAAAAGCATCTATTTTTGCTATAGTTTTGAGTAGACTTTTTAAGAACTATAAACTTAACTGTTTAATCCAATCATATTTGTACATAACGTACCATTTTTATGCTATTTTGATCGCTGTAAAATCAGTAGATTGAAAATTGATCAAATAACCTCGAAACGCGCAGTGAAGACGTTAAGAAAGAAGTCTTTCCTTCCAATACTATTGTTAACAATACGTACAAATATTGTTAAGAACATTTACATTAAATTTGTAATACGCTTTGTTGTTAAAAATAAATTTCTCAAAAGTCATTAATCTGTTTTAGAAGAAGTCTTTCCACTACTGAAGAAGCATTTATATAACTAGAAGAAATATTCAAACGAGTAAAGTATATTTTAATATCTTAATATTTTTATCGAATATCTTTTGCCTTTTTAAAAATCAAATTATTATTTTAAATTGTAATAATTTCTTTAAAGTTTAATATAGAGGTTTTTTCGAACAGTATTTAACTACAACAACAAAAATTTTATTTTTTATGTTATTTTAATTAATTGAAGCTTAATATAAAATTTTAAATTAAAATTAATAATATATAATAATATATACATATATAATATATATACAGTTTGTCAAGAATGAGTTTTCACACTGAAAATAATTGAAAATTTTAATTTCTTATTCAGAAAAAGACAACTTCTTGTTTTAGTATACATATGTATATATTTTTTATTTTATATATTTGTTAATTACTATATTAAGAATATAAATATAAAAAAAAATTATAAAATTATTGAAAGAAGAACACAAAATATGCCAAAAACAAATCCTACATCATTTTTTGACTGTCAAATTACTGTTTTCACAACTTGGGTTTTTCTATTATTTTGCATTATTTAACCCTCATACTATGTTCGGGTCATTTCATGACCCAAAATGACTTTAAATTGTAATAATTTTTTAAGTTTAGCATATTTTCTAAAACTTTTTCGCCTCAGTGTATAAATTTTAATATTATTTCATAAAATTAACTCAACTTGAACAAAATTTGTGTGATAGTCATTTAAATACAGCACTATGCACATGTTATGTTTGGGTCATTTTATGACCCCTTATTTTATTCATTATTTGCAATACTAATTATATGGCTTCTAAAAAGCGCATTGGCAACACTATTTATTAAGATAAAAACACTAACAAATTTTTCCCGCGCTAATGTAACTTTCATGTCAAAACGGTATTTTGATAAAGTGTTCGCAAGTTAATTTCATATAAACCTAATAAATTACAATAAATTATGTCGATCGGAATGGAAGTAAGTTTACATGTAATTATAATCTGTTTATCAAGAATCTATAATTTTTGTGCTTTATTTTTAAGACGCTGAAGGATGATGAAATTGTCGCTTTTTTGAGTGATTGTGACGACGAAGCAAGTGATGATGGTGATCCAGACTTTGAGCCAGAGCTACTTCAACGGAACTTATCAGAGGATGACATGGATACAGATGTAGAGCTGAGTAAAGAAATAGAGATTCCTCTTGAACAAAATAATTACTTTTGTAAAGATGGTAATATAAAGTGGACCACCATACCACCAAATGGAAGAGAATTACTTCGAGCCACAAATGAAAATGTGATACATGAAAGGACAGGTGTAACAGCATATGCTGTTCAACGAATCTCCGAAATAAGAGACTCGTTTGACTTATACATAACTACAACCATGAAGAAAGAAATAATTCGTTACAGCAATATGCAAGGCAATGCTGTATATGAAAATTTTCACTGTATGGACAAAATAGAATTTGATGCATATTTAGGTTTACTGATGCTTATTGGTTGGTGTTCTGCATATTCGTATACCCTGTACCGAGTCATCGAATTATTATATTTGCAGGTGTTTATCGTTCGTATGGTGAAAGCATTAGTTGCTTGTGGAATGAAAATCATGGCCGTCCATTGTTAAGAGCTGTTATGACCTTGGAACGTTTTACAATTATTTCTCGTGTCCTTGCATTTGATAATAGACAAGCCCGAAGATCACAAGTCCGCGGAGACAAGCTGGCACCAATTCGTAGTTTTTATGAAAAGTGGACTATAAATTTACAAGTACTTTACGTTCCCAATGAAAATATTACCGTTGACGAACAACTTATTCCGTTTCGTGATAGATGCCCATTTAAAGTTTATATGCCCAGTAAACCAGGTAAATATGGAATGAAGGCATGGATAGCAGCTGATTCTGCAACTGCGTTTTGTCTACAATTTCAAATATACCTTGGAAAAACTTCAGATTTGCCTGAAAGAAATCAAGGTGAACGAGTAGTTTTAGACCTAGTGTCACAATATACTGGTAGAAATGTAACAACCGATAATTTTTTTACGAGTCATAATTTGGCACAGGAATTACTAAAGCGAAAAATTACTTTAGTTGGCACTGTTCGAAAGAATAAAAGATTTTTACCGGTTCACTGCACAGTAAAAGAGTTACGAAAACTACCCATCTATACTAGCAAGTTTTTCTTTCATGAAAAAGAGACAATCGTACAATATGTGCCGAAGAGATATAAAATAGTTACTTTACTGAGTACGTTGCATCATAACGGAAAAATTTTAGAAGAACATTCAAAAAAAATACCGGAGGTAATAAAATATTATAACTTATCTAAAGGTGGAGTTGACACCATGGACCAAATGGTCCGCACGTACTCATGTAAACGTAAAACAAACCGTTGGCCAGTCGC